AGTCGCACTAGTTTTGATTTTGTCTTCCATTTTTCATCATAATCTGGATTACCCGAAATTATGTGAACGGTGCCTTTAAGCGCATACATATGGGTAGTATTCCGAGCAATTTCATAGAAAGAAGAACATTCCAGGAATTCGGGTTATCGGGATATTTCTGGCAAAATTTTCCAAACTTTTTAAATGTCGTTCATAGAATGTCAAAATTTTCTGAGAAGGGACTTCGTATTTATGTGGTTGGTACCGTAGTGTGAGAAGACGTAAAGGGCTTTTTCTTTTCAGTCATGAGAGAGACAAGTGTAAGACCTTATTATAGGGCTTTTCCAGGTTTTTGCAACATAGATAGGTGCCTACCTTCACTGTTAATTTTCCCTAACATAAAGAAGTCGAATGCATACTAGAGCAATTGCTTGACTTACCAACGGTGGAAGTTGGAGGAACTTTTAACGGCTTCGCGAAATCGAGCTGTTATTTCGGACTCTCAAAAAGATTTTTTCTGACTGATGTTCAGAGGAACTCTAGAAGGTCTTCAGTTGTTTCTGTAGTAGTCGTGTATTGAAAATGGGAGGAAGGTGAGGGGCCGTGGGGAGGGGGGGGAGACTGGGATTTTACTGTTCCTTGCAGAAATTGTCAAAACCACTGCCAGTTCAGTATGTGATCCCGCATATTAGAATGGAAGGATTCGATGTGAACTCTGAGCAAAAATAACTTTACCTAATGTGAATAACCTTTTTATGTCATTTTACCTCCTTTGGCTCACTAAATTGTAGTTAGCTTCGCATCTGTTAGCTGGTTTTTCTTTCTTGTACTTTCTTTTATCGAGCTCAGAAGCTTTTAGAAACTTCAGTTGGCTTCCAATAATGCCTATTTATCCCTTTTTTCGGTTCTGTGATGAAAACGTCAATGTTCACATCTCACTTCCCACACATATTGTGCTCGAGTTTCCTGTTGTTCAGTTTCCGTCTTTTATGGCAATGAGGTGGCTCAGCTGCGTGAAAGACTTGCCAGTATCTCATGCAAAAACCCTTGCTATTTACTTGTTTACTTGCCCCTTTTCAGCCCTGCCTTTTGTTCCCATACCTTATCCTGACCCAATACCCAAGAAAATAAGAATGCTTTCCCTTAAGTAGAAGTTATAAGAGTTGGAAAAAGCATTGGATTGAACTAGTGGCAAGTGGTACCGGGGCATTTCAGACGATTTGAGCCCTCCACAGATTAATCAGCACGGATTACTCCGAAGAATAAGTGCGCCCTTCTGTGCTTGGATTGGATCTCACAAATCTTCACATAGGCCAAGTTCGCAGCCCCATAGGCTTGTTACCCTTAGGGAATCGTTGCCAGGCCTATTTCCACAAATAAATCGTCAGAGTCAAAAAACTCAATTTCTACGCTCATTTTTCCTAGTCTTTTTATTGTGACGGGAGCTCCTTTCCCACTTTTCTTGGC